TCCAGGAATTATTTCATGTTCCCGAGTCTCTACATTAAAAATAAAAACAGGCTTTAAGGAGGCGGGGGAGGGGCGAGCTGCTGCAGAGGGTGATGGGGAGTTTTTCCACTTGAGGAAAAGTGACAGAGAACCGAGCCAAGTTCCTCACAGAACACAAACCATCAGAAAAACAGAAAACACACCAACATCCACAGCCGATAATCTGGAAGTGAGTTTTATTTTCTGTGCAGGCAGGACGCCAGCTCTGAGGCTGTGTTCACACTGCAGCAGTCATCTGTCAAACGCACTGTGTAAACCACTCACTCAGTCCTCTGCAGGTACATAATGGCCATTGTTAATGCTGCCACCATCACAAACCACGGCGCTGACACACACACTGGTGTCCAAAGAACAAGAGTCAGACAGAGAAAGGAGGCGAGGAAGAGGATGAACTTCATGAACTTGAACATGAGCTGTGTGGAGGACGCCGCGCAGCGCTGAACAAAGATGCTGCCATAACCCTGCATGTAAAGAAGTGAAGGAGGAGGAGTGTGTGTGTGTCTGTGTGTGTCTGTGTGTGTGTGTGTCAGGTGAGCTCTTATTCTGAGCTGTGAAATTGGATGGTGGGGAGCAGGTGCTGCAGAAAGGAAAGGTTACCCCGACCATTCACAGATGGAGAGCAGAGAGGAGAATCAACGCCGCCCCTCCTTATTCTGTGCTCGGGGAAAAATGAGGAAGCTGTTTCCAAGGTTATGTGCCGCCGCTGGAGAACAGAGGAGGGATCCACGGAGACGTGCACCCACCCAGCAGGACACACACACACACTCACACATAGTCAACAATGTACGTACATGCAGAGCGGCAGGCGGAGAGGCCACCCAGTGTAGACACACACACACACGACAAGGACACATCACAGGACACACACCGAGAAACGCTTTGTATTCTACACACCTCACTGTGTGCAAGGACACACACACACACACACACACATAACACACTTCCACACTCTGAGTAAAACATCAAACACACACACAGGAACGTCTGACACATTTGTTTACGTTGAAAATCACAAAAGACACAAAATCTATACGTACGTCCACACACACACACACACACACACACACACACACACACTGTATGTGCACACACACCCCTCAGTTCGCATTGTGGTTGAGAAACTCCTGGGCATCTGCCAGCGAGCTCTCAGTGCTTGTTCTCGGGGCCTCAGCCTTTCCTTCTTTTTCAGCAGCGGCGGCGGCGGCGCTGCAGTTTGGGCGTGCCGTGGGGCCAGAGATAAGTATAGGCTGACTAATATGCACTTAGGACCCGGGGAGAAATACTTAGGCCTAAATGTTTAATTTGTGTTTGTACAACACATGTCCAATTTAGGGGCTGGTGTCTTTTTCAAAGAGCCCGACAACAAATAATTAGGAGTTTCTGGGAGCGGCCGCAGGCTTAAAATGGCAGAGCAACGGTTTTCCGATGAAGGTGAATGACATCTTCAAAAAAACAACATATGGAAACATTTAAATGTGCAACACCGTGGTCAGAGCGAAGACAGGCGCAGGGGGGAGACAAGACGGGGGGGGGGGGGGGGGGGGGGGGGGGGGGGGGGGGGGGGGGGGGAGGGGGGGGGGGGGGGGGGGGGGGGGGGGGTAAAATAAGGGCTGCAGGGGTCAAACACGACGAGGACAATGATGATGATGATGATTCCTAAAACTCTAAATTCATCTGATTTATTTTGTCTGAAGATGTAAAATTCAGAGTGTTCCTCCTCCACCTCCTCCTCTGTCAGCCGTCGCATCTCTTAGCCTTTGGCCCCACTGACTGCCCGTAGCCTCTGTGAGCGGCTGAGAGTCCCCGCGGGCCCCGACAGAGGAAGAGAGGAAGAGGCCTCTCAGACTCCATACGTGACGTATCAGAATAACGTGAGTGACAGAGACGTTTCCAGGCATGAGGATCAGACCTGAGCTCGGCCTGTGTGTGTGTGTGTGTGTGTGTGTGTGTGTGTGTGTGTGTTTTTATTAAATCTGAAAATTAAATGAAATCATATGTGTGAAGCTGCAGGCCCCAAAAATAAACATGTATTTTATTTTTAAGAGAAAAGATTAATCTGAAGGATTTATTTATTTATTTATTTTATTATTAATAATAAATTATATTTTTAATCTTGTATTTTATTTGAATGTTTTCTTTTTTATTTGACAGGTGGAGTTAAAGGAAAATGTGCCGCAGAGATGAGAAGCATTTTACGCACACGAATTATAACGAACACAGTGACCGGCCGTGCTGTCAGCGCGGACACACACGCACACACACACACACACACACACACACACACACACACAGGAACAGGAAGAAGAAAGAAAGAAGCTGCAGGTCTCCGTCACACAGTGCACAGAGCGCGTCCATGGGGACAATGTGCTGAATTGGCAGCCTATATATAAGTCTGCCATTTGGACGCTCTGATGCCACTTTACCTTATGAGGGAACTTCAGCCTGCAGCACCTGCTGCAAACAACATGCCACAGCAGATCAACTTCTGCCACACACACACACACACACACACACACACACACACACACACACACACACACCACCCCCAGCTCGGATTGTTTTTCAGACNGGGGGGGGGGGGGGGGCTATAAGCCGCGGTCCCAACAATTAAAGTACTTGTTGGAAAGTTGGAAATAGTGATTTAGTGTGTGCAGGCCTGTGGGCTGCAGGTCCGACCTGGCAACACACACACACACACCTGTGAACACACACACTGCCACAGCTGATGGTGTGAAATAAGACAGGTGGCTCAGGTTATCACACCAACTATTTTCCTCTGGTTTTATTTCATTCTGCGCACACACATATTTTTGTTGAGCGCGTGTGACTTGGCTCTGTGTCTTATCTGCAGCGGAGCAGCATCTTATCTCTGAGGTGTAGTGCGGCTCTAAATGTGGGGAACACCCTCATGTGTGTCTATCAGCCCGTCCCAGGCCGCCGCGATGCGCCTTGTCCTCCTGTACCCCCGTCACATCCTCACCCTCAACCCTCACACCGGAGCCAGACCTGTCCAGTCCTCATGCTCTCAGCTTCGGATCACAAACTGCCCCCCTTGCGCGCACGGCTCCGGTTCACACACCCACAGTTAACGTCACACTCACACTCTCTGCCTCTGCACCGGGCTGCAGGACGGACACGTGAAACACTTTTTACTGAAGACGCGCCAAACTTTACGGAGCCGACAGAAACAGAGAGCACGAGGACAGAAGTAAACTCACAGATTAAAGTGTCCACCGTGTCTCCGCACAGGGACACTGTCTCTGTCTCCTGTTGTCCCTCGGTATTGTCTCCCAGAGGATCCGTGTGAGGACTCCGGGTCTATTTTCATGTATGACTCACGGATTCTTCAGGGGTCAGTCTCCGTGACCTCCGCGCACACACCGGTAACTCCGGCCCTGAACACGCTCCTCTTTCCTCTCCTCCACACTCCGCTTCTCTCCGTTATGTCCCGGAACAAGTGCGGGACACTCACGGCACCGCAGATCTGCTACGGGCTCAAATGTGTGTGTGTGTGTGTGTGTGTGTGTGTGTGTGTGTGTGTGTGCCGGGGGCGCGCACAGCCCGTCCGGCGGAGCGTTCACGGTGTTGGACAGAGGGAGACCCACGGCTGCGTGTCCGCAGAGAGGAGACCACTGAAGGCGTGATCCCACAGAGTCCGGAGGGACTGAAGGACAGGAGCTCACAGATCCGCTAAACTCTTTAAATTAAGCTCTATAAAGTCATTTTAAATTTAAACTAAAATTCTGCCGACATTAAAAGCTCTGATGATTTAATGTCAAACTGTTTTTATGCACAGAGACTTTCTGAATGTCTGTAAACAGTTTTTGTAGAAAATATTTTGTGGCTGAAATATTTCTGTTAATGTTGTATGACAGGGCTTCACACACACACACACACACACACACACACACACACACACAGCTTTTCTTTATAGTTTCATATTTTGTGCTTAAATTAACCTGAGATATTAAATTTAAAGTAAAGCTGGAAAAGCATGTGAATGCATGAATTAAAACATTACGTCATATTTCTGTTGATATCTGTGTGTTTGGAGGAGCACAGATTTTATGTTTTAATTTATTTCGTTTTTATTTTTCAGTGGTGAAAAAATCACAACCATCTCACACGTCACAAACACCGTGTTTAGTGTGTTTAAATGTTGGTTATCATTATTATCATTATCATTATTATTATTATGATTATTATTATTATTATTATTGTTATTATGAGGGGGAAATAAAGGATATTTTAATAAGTTCTCTGTGTGTCACAGAGAGAGGCCTCAGCACAGCAACAGCTGATACTATTATAATTATTATTATTATCATTATTATTATTATTATTGTTGTTGTTATTATCAATCAATTTTATTTATAAAGCCCAATATCACAAATCACAATTTGCCTCACAGGGCTTTACAGCATACGACATCCCTCTGTCCTTATGACCCTCACAGCTGATCAGGAAAAACTCCCCCAAAAAAAACCCTTTAACGGAGAAAAAAACGGTAGAAACCTCAGGAAGAGCAACTGAGGAGGGATCCCTCTTCCAGGACGGACAGACGTGCAGTAGAACAGATCAATAATTAACAGTAATTATCATCATAACTGGTTTTTGTTTTATTATTAAATTGCTTTAATGCGTTATTTTAGAATTGATCTAATTTTAAGTGGATAATAAAATCTACAAACAGCAGGTATATTAATTCATGAAGAGTCTGCAGAGCTTTTCTTTTTAAAAAGATAACGGTGAGTGGCGGCGGGTCATGTGGGGTCGGCCGGGTCTAATCACGGTGAGGCTGCAGGTTCACACACTCTGATGGAGGCTGACTCTGCTGCTGTCATCTCGGCTCGTTGCGCACCGCTGATAACAGCGACTTTATAAAAACAAGCAGCCCGGAGGACGCGCCGGCTCACGGTCCCGGTGCTGACCACACACTGATGCAGCTGCACGTCTCTTACCTGGACTCACTTCTTCGGCATCCGCCGCGTGTCCGAGGCAAACTTGGACAGTGTTGAGGGCGATGTTGATGATGAAGATGAGGATGAAGAGTTAGAGACCAAACCAGAGGAGTCACTTCAAACTGCCTCAGATCCCGTGCGTAAAGTCACCATCTCTGGAGCGGCTCCGGGACTTTGGTAACTCCTCTGTCCGCGCTCCGGGCACAAAGTGCGAGAGAAGAGTCGGGGTGGTGGTCAGAGAGGACACAGAGTCCCGGGGAACTGTCCTTCGGAGGAACCTCAAAAAACAAAAAGTATTTAAAGTTATTTCCGTCCGGCACCGAGCGGAGGTGAACACAGAGTGCGGGGCAGTGACGGCTGCTCAGGCTCAGGCTGGATAACCCCTCCTCCCTCCTGCTCGTCCCTGCGCTCACACTCTCACACTCTCTGCTAGGATACCGTCCCTCTGTCTGTCTGTCGTCTGTCTGTCTGTCTGTCTGTCTGTCCCTCTGTCTGTCTGTCTCACGTGTCATTAGAAAATAAAACTCTTGTAACTTTTCCTCTCTGTCTCTGTGCACTGTCTTTATGTGCGCGCGTGTGTGCGCGTGCTGGTCACCTGCCGTTAACTGAATAAATAACGACTTTAATAGATTGAGTTTGATTGTGTGTCAGAGATGAGCTCAGCCTGTCTGTGTGTCTGCACCGTTTAAAATCCTGCTCTTTGACACTTTAATAAAATTAATATGAAAATAACTCCTCTCTGACGTCACGAGTTATTTTACATGACAGCAGAAAATGTCATTAAAAAATCATCAGGAATAAAATCTGAAGTCTATAAATATAAATAAATCTCCTGGTTTATAAAAATGTTTCCACAGTTTTAAATCAGCGAAACTTTAAAGTTGAATAATTAATAAAACAAACAGAATGAGTTAATTAAATATGTTCATTAATTAGTTGAATTAACAGACTCCAAACACAGACTCGTCAGGTCGAACTTACCTGGTGTGATTTCTCTCTGTTTCTGAGTTACTCTGAACTCTGACGCCACCTCCCGGCGGTCTGACGTCAGGTCACCTGACAGACGGTTCATTTAACACTGAGCGTGTCCGTGTACACTCGGGGAAGTTAAATGAGTTATTAGTTTGTCTGATTGTTTTAACTTCATCTGAGTCTTATCTGTTTACTGCTATAGCCTACTATGAGTACGGAAGGGTCGACTGTGTTATGCTATGTTCTCTTTACCCAGATAACTGATGCTTTCATGGGAGTGTGAATCTGGCATCTCTCTCATTGTCTGCTCATTTTGCCAGGTGAGGGGTGATACAGATTAGGATGGGGGGTGGGGATAACAGGTGGGATGGAGGGGAGGGTGGGTATGGGGGGGTGGGACAGGACCTTATGGTTGGGTCTGTCTATTCAGTATTAAACAGCTATATTCACTTTTTCTGCCTTATCTTCTATGATAGCTCCGACGAGTATTACATTTCGTCTTGGAATGGACGAGGCCTAAATATTCCTCATAAAAAGCACTCTGGACTTTCTATATAGGAAGAATCAATAAAAATAGATGTTTTTTTTTTTTTTACAAGAATCCCATCTAGTGGTAGAAAGATGTTTCTAGACTACAGAACAAATCTTACGGCTTCATCCTCAAATACCAAGAAGAACAGAGGAGTAGTGATTTTAGCCAAACATAATTTACAAATCCTTTACCTTGGATCTGGGAGGGATTCTGAGGGTAGGCTTTGTTATACTAAAACTGCTATCAACAATAACAAAGTTGCATTTGTTTCAATATAAGCACCTAATTCATTTAATCAGGATTGTTATGAATACTTAACAGACGTAACTATGGAATTGTCTGAGTTTGCTCTTCTAATCGGGGGTGATTTTAATGCAGTTTGGATGCATACTTTGAACAGAACCGGGGCCACAGAGGGGAGACCAGCGCCTGCTTCTTCTGCATTAAGGACTGTGCTGTTGTAGATGTTTGGAGGACTACAAACCCCTCCTTGAAAGAATACACTTGTTTCTCTTCTCGACACAAATCATTCTCTTGCATACATTATATTTTCGTATTTAAACACTTGTTTGACAAAACATCTAATTCTGAATTATATCCCATGTCTCTTTCTGATCACAGGGAGGTCACTGGCAAGGTTGCAATATCTGCGGGTCCTACACGGGCTGTACGTTGGCATTTTAATTCAACGCTGTTGCAGAATGAATCATTTTTAAAGGAGATGAGTGAACAACTAGAAGAATTCATATCCATTAACAAGCCATCTGTGTCTGATCCAAGTATACTGTGGGATGCTGCAAGGCTTCATTAGGAATAAATCACTTAGTTTCATTTCTAACCTACATAGAACCAGACTGAATCACTTCCATGATTTAGAGAACAAAATCACAGTAGTAGAGAGTATTATGGCCGTACTTCTTACACCCGATCTAGTCCTTCAGAGAGAGTTATTAATTAAGGACCTCAACCATCTACTTAAATACAGAGCAGACTTCCTCATCCATAGAACCAGGCAGAATCATTACCTCCATAGTGCACAGCCAAGTCATTTACTAGCATCGAAACTTAAAACCAATGAGCAACTTGCTAACATCACAGCAGTTAAATCTCCCACAGGAGAGTTGTGCACTGATCATCAGAGATCAATAAACATTTTTGTATATTTTATTCTGCTCTTTATACATCTGAAAGCAGTTATAGTGAACAACTGTGTGGTAGATTTTGGATCCTCTACATCTTCCTCAGCTCTCACAGGGTGACAGTCAGACACTAGATATTAGAATAAGAATAAGAATAACTTCATTCATCCCCAAGGGGAAATTCAATAATGTCGGTAACATTGGATGAGCTCTATAAAGCTCTCAACAGTTTGAATAAAGGCAAGTCTCCTGGTTTAGATGGGATACCTCCAGAGCTCTATTTGGCTTCCTGGCCCCAAGTTGGCCCTCTTCTTCTCGGGATGATTCATTCTGCAATTGAAAATGGCTCATTCTCAAACAACACTAACATAGCTATTATCTCTCTTCTCCTAAAAAAAAGGGAAGGATCCAACCGAATGTCAGAACTATGGCCCTTTATCACTGCTGAATACAGACATCAAATTAAATGCCAAAGTCCTAGCTTCTTGACTAGAGCCCTGTATGACTTCCCTAGTGCATGTTGATCAAACAGGCTTTATTAAAAACCGCATTGCTTCAGACAATGTTCGTCGCCTTCTCCACATCATCGATACTTCTACCACAGACTCCTCAAATGCCATCCTTTCACTAGATGCAGAGAAGGCATTTGATCGCTTAGAGTGGCACTTTTTATGGGCTGTTTTGCATCGCATGGGCTTCAGTAGTAATTTCATAGGGATGATTCAACTGTTATATTACAATCCAACAGCAATGGTCATAACGGGGAGCATTTGCTCTAAACAATTCTTAGTCTCCCGTCGCTCACACCAGGGCTGTCCTCTCTCCCCTTTGTTACTTGCATTGTCTCTTTAGCCGGTAGCCCAAGCTGTTCGACAATCAGTCAATCACAACCCGATTATGATACACACTTCTACACATTACATATCTTTATATGCGGATGACATTCTCCTCTTTATTCACAATGTTGCACAGTCTCTTCCCCACCTCTCAAATATTTTCAACTGCTTTAGCTGGCTATAAAATTAACTGGGGGAAATCTGCACTGTTCCGACTGAGTGCCTCCCTTACACAATCTTTACCACTGAATATCCCAGTGGTCCAGCACTTTAAATATCTGGGCATTTCCATTCACCCTTCTATTGCCAGTACTGTATCAATAAATTAAAATAAGGTACTTTTGGTTGTAGAGACTGATCTTCAAAGGTGAAATAGATCTCCCTTTTCACTATACTCACGCATTTCAGTTGTCAAAATGAATATTCTTCCACCAATTAATTTCATCAGCTCCATCCTTCCACTAGCACCGCCCAATGGCCTCACAGCCGCAAAAAGACTTGTAGCATGTAGATGGATGGTAGGGATGGGGAAGGGGGAACTGATTGTATGAAGTCTGTTCACATGTCATTGTGAATATAATTGTGTATTGCTTGTATCCATATCCCCATCTCCCTGTAAATCCCCAAAAATAATAAAATACTGATCATAAAAAACACTGAGCATGTCCATGACATCACAGAGACACAGAGACATGTAATTAACAAGAATTAAATGATCCAGATTCAGACTCTGATTTAATTACGCTCCAAACTGAAATCATGAAGTTCAATCACTTCAGTGAATCATCAGCTCCTGATCACAGATCAATAATCTATGATCCTGATCATCAGATGATCGATCAGAGCTGTCTCATTTCTCTGATCAGGTTACACCTGTATAACACCTGAGGAAACACCCTTTCCTGCCATCAATTAAAAGTAAAGATGAATAACTCTGTAGATGATTAAACGCCCCTCAGATGATTACATCACACACACTGATGACCTGTCTGTTGTTACACACACACACACTGATCACCTGTCTGTTGTTACACACACACACACTGATCACCTGTCTGTTGTTACACACACTCATTGATAAATAAATCCACATCCTGGTGGTTTGTCAGAACAACTTCTGTTTTTATCCTGACAGCATGACGTCTGATCATCTGAGACACGTTTTGGTTGTTTATTAAGAACCCCCTAAAACTGTGTCACAGTCAGGACAGGTGAAGGCTCGGGCACCGTCACCCACAGGAGGCGCCATAGATGAGGAAGGACAAAAATCTAAGTGGTTATCTGACACTATTTTTACTAAAACTGTTACTGTTTTTATTTTGAAATATGACACAGCTACACAACAGAACTTCATATCAAAGTCTACTGAATAACAGAGAGGCTTTTTTGTCTCGTTACACTTCACCTGCTCTCTGGGGGAGGTGGGTGGAGTTATCTGACGTCACACTGCATCATTATCATGTCAAAAATAAATACATTTTCAAACATGTTATCATGTAAAATAAATACATTTAAATCATGTCAGAACGACTCAGCTACCAAGACACTACTGAGAGGAGTGTTTGTGGAGAGAAAGAACAGGAAGTCAGCAGGAGGAGAGCTTGTTAAGTTAGCTGCTAGCTGTTAGGAGTTAGCTGTTAGCTGTAAACACTTTGCTGTTAGCTGTTAGCAGCTAACTGTTAGTTGTTAGCACTATGCGCTTAGCAGTTAACTGTTAACTGTTAGCACTTTGCTGTTAGCTGTGATCAGCTAACTGTTAGCTGTTAACACTTTGCTGTTAGCTGTTATCAGTTAACTGTTAGCATTTGCTGTTAGCAGTTAACTGTAAGCACTTTGCTGCCAGCTGTTAGCACTTAACGGTTAGTTGTTAGCACTTTGCTGTTAGCTGTGATCAGCTAACTGTTAGCTGTTGACACTTTGCTGTTAGCTGTTATCAGTTAACTGTTAGCACTTTGCTGCCAGCTGTTAGTACTTAACGGTTAGTTGTTAGCACTTTGCTGTTAACTGTTAGCACTGTGTTACTGTTTCTTGTAGTTGTGTGTTTTTATGGACCGAACTGAGTCTGAAATAAAGATTGATTGATTGATTTGCTGTTAGTGGTTAAGTGCTAGTTGTTCTCACTTTGCTGTTAGATGTTAACTGTTAGCACTTTGTTGTGAGCTGTTAGCACTGATAGTTACCAGCTGTTAGCAGTTAATTGCTAGTTGTTCTCACTTTG